AGATATTACACAAAAATCAATGAAAAAGTTTCGATTTTCGCACCGACCTCGATTTAGAAAAAAATCGAGATGATTTGGGAGGTCATATCTCCGCGCGGAGCTATGTCGTTTTGGAACGTCATATCTCCTCAAGAAGTTCTGTCGTTTTGGAACGTCATATCTCCTCGAGAAGTTCTGTCGTTTTGGAACGTCATATCTCCGCGCGAAGTTCTGTCGTTTTGGAACGTCATATTTCCGCGCGGAGTTATGTCGTTTTGGAACGTCATATCTCCTCGCGGAGTTATGTCGTTTTGGAACGTCATATCTCCTCGAGAAGTTCTGTCGTTTTGGAACGTCATATCTCCTCGCGAAGTTATGTCGTTTTGGAAGGTCATATGTCCGCGTGGAGTTATGTCGTTTTGGAACGTCATATCTCCGCGTGGAGTTATGTCGTTTTGGAACGTCATATCTCCGCGCAAGGTTATGTCGTTTTGGAACGTCATATCTTCGCGCGGAGTTATGTCGTTTTGGAACGTCATATCTCCTCAAGAAGTTCTGTCGTTTTGGAACGTCATATCTCCTCGAGAAGTTCTGTCGTTTTGGAACGTCATATCTCCGCGCGAAGTTCTGTCGTTTTGGAACGTCATATTTCCGCGCGGAGTTATGTCGTTTTGGAACGTCATATTTCCGCGCGGAGTTCCGTCGTTTTGGAACGTCATATCTCCTCGAGAAGTTCTGTCGTTTTGGAACGTCATATCCCCTCGCGAAGTTCTGTCTTTTTGGAACGTCATATCTCCTCGAGAAGCTCTGTCGTTTTGGAACGTCATATTTCCGCGCGGAGTTATGTCGTTTTGGAACGTCATATCTCCGCGCAAGGTTATGTCGTTTTGGAACGTCATATCTTCGCGCGGAGTTATGTCGTTTTGGAACGTCATATCTCCGCGCGGCGTTATGGCGTTTTGGAACGTCATATCTCCGCGCGGCGTTATGTCGTTTTGGAACGTCACATCTCCGCGCGGAGTTATGTCGCTTTGGAACGTCATATCTCCTCGAGAAGTTCTGTCGTTTTGGAACGTCATATCTCCTCGCGAAGTTATGTCGTTTTGGAAGGTCATATGTCCGCGTGGAGTTATGTCGTTTTGGAACGTCATATCTCCGCGTGGAGTTATGTCGTTTTGGAACGTCATATCTCCACGCGGAGTTATGTCGTTTTGGAACGTTATATCCCCGCGCGGAGCTATTACTCGAGATATTAAAAAAAAATCATCGAAAAAGTGTTGATTTTCGCACCGACCTTGATTTAGAAAAAAATCGAGATTATTTGGAAGGTCATATCTCCGCGCGGAGTTATGTCGTTTTGGAACGTCATATCTGCTCGCGAAGCTCTGTCGTTTTGGAACGTCATATCTCCTCGAGAAGTTCTGTCGTTTTGGAACGTCATATCTCCGCGCGGAGTTATGTCGTTTTGGAACGTCATATCTCCTCGCGAAGTTCTGTCGTTTTGGAACGTCATATTTCCGCGCGGAGTTTAGTCGTTTTGGAACGTCATATCTCCTCGAGAAGTTCTGTCGTTTTGGAACGTCATATCTCCGCGCGGAGCTATGTCGTTTTGGAACGTCATATCTCCTCGCGAAGTTCTGTCGTTTTGGAACGTCATATTTCCGCGCGGAGTTTAGTCGTTTTGGAACGTCATATCTCCTCGAGAAGTTCTGTAGTTTTGGAACGTCATATCTCCGCGCGGCGCTATGTCGTTTTGGAACGTCATATCTCCTCTAGAAGTTTTGTCGTTTTGGAACGTCATATCTCCTCGAGAAGTTCTGTCGTTTTGGAACGTCATATCTCCGCGCGGACCTATGTCGTTTTGGAACGTCATATCTCCTCGCGAAGTTCTGTCGTTTTGGAACGTCATATCTCCGCGTGGAGTTATGTCGTTTTGGAACGTCATATCTCCACGTGGAGTTATGTCGTTTTGGAACGTCATATCTCCACGTGGAGTTATGTCGTTTTAGAACGTCATATCTCCGAGCGGAGTTATGTCGTTTTGAAACGTCATATCTCTGCGTGGAGTTATGTCGTTTTGGAACGTCATATCTCCGCGCGGAGTTATGTCGTTTTGGAACGTCATATCTCCGCGTGGAGTTATGTCGTTTTGGAACGTCATATCTCCGCGCGGAGTTATGTCGTTTTGAAACGTCATATCTCCGCGCGGAGTTATGTCGTTTTGGAACGTCATATCTCCGCGCGGAGTTATGTCGTTTTGAAACGTCATATCTCCGCGCGGAGCTATTACCCGAGATATTAACAATTGCGCAGTTGCATATAACTTTGGTTTTTTTTAACCGATCTTTATGAAATTTTCTACAGTATATCTTATTGTATCATAGAATATTTGTGTATATTGAAAAAGTCAATTGCATTAAAATTTTGGTTTAAATTGGTTGGCAATAAAAGTTGGGTTAATAACTTGATTTATAGCTCTGGGGTGGTAGCTCAGAGGTGGCGATAGGTTTAAAATGAAAGATACTTGACAAATATATAATATTTCATATCATATCATGTTTCGTGACTCTAGCTCTTATTACTTCCCAAAAGTCCCAAAAAACAGGATATCGATATCGATTTTTTTCGATTGCTTGGAAACGGAGTAAGTTATCGATTATCGGAAACAAACTCGATCAGCACAGGCACTTGGAGCACCTTCATTTAAAATTTCAAGTCTATTTATTTATATAATATTTTTAATGGGTTCAGGGTATAAATATTCGTTGTTTATCGGCTAGCTCAGCATCCTTGGTGAGTTATGCCAAATAGATATTAGTCTTGCTCCGAATCCTGGAATAATGGACAAGCATGTGGGCAAAAAGTTTCTCCTGCTTTCACTGTCTCAGGCGAGCGCTGTTTCGCCAAACTCATTTGCATAAGTTAAGTTTCCATTGCATTATGTCCTCTGCTGCAGTGGGAGATGGTGGCAAGGAGTAGCAACATCTGTGTGGATGTTGAGCGTCCGTTTGTTTGTGGCAGCAGAATTAACACTTGATTTGGGTTTGGTCAACAAATTTGTGTCCACAGTGTGCACAATATTAACTGTTGCAGGTCCCATTGTTTGCCAAGTTTGTTTGCCTAGAGGACACGTAATATCCTTAATTCGGCAGGTGTATACATTTTGTAATTTAATAGGTCGAGAGAAATACGAAAATAATAAGCCAATTGTTAAATATAGAAACGAATTTTAGACTAGAAAAAAATATGTGATATATATCATCAAGTGATGGAGTAGTATGTATGTATATAATTGTTTAAATAGTGTCCATAAACTTACTTATATTAAGTTTTCTTTTAATTTAACATATTTTGTAGCACAAAGAAAAAATGTTAGTATTCGAACTGCAAAGATTGTATGGTTAATAGAAAAATAAGCTGTCTTTTCACATAATAATTCAAAATACATTCACATCTTAAAGAGAATAGTGATAATTAGATAGTTGATTCATTTATTTGTGATCAAATGACGAAAGTAAGAGTTTCCCTGCCAACAGAAATCTTTATTTTAACAAGGTCTTTCAGGACCGCAAATAACATCTATAGAATCTGTTTATTTACGTTAATTATGTTTCGACGCCTAAATCCCGGCGCTATAAACCTCGAGGCTAACTGGTTGGCTGGAGCACAACCACAAAACCAACCAGTCCAACAAATTAACTAATTGTGCAATAGACATTTTCCTAAACTTCTGACAATGGACTTGACAAACCGAAAGGGCGGGACGAAGGATTGCCAATCAGCACCAACAAAATTTGTGGCCAAAGTGGTTTTTCGCATTAGCCTTACACATATATATGTTAGACATATTTGTATATATGCCTTGGCACATATTTACATGTTAACTGTGTACATAAATCTGGTGCGCTTTGACCCAGTTTGTGGCACGGCTGCAGGCAACACAAATTACGATTAACATAAGCATTACCTGCGGTCAGAGTGTCTAGCAGCAGGCCCAGAACGCAGAAGGAAAAATGTTATATGGGCTCTCCACTTTTTCGGGCGAAACATGACAAAATTTGTTCATTGTTCCGGTATGTTATCTATGGGCCATGTGCAGCTGCCAGGCTACGAGTTGATTTAGTGTAGGTCCAATAGGCCGGCCAGCCAGGCGCTGCCAGACCATTCAATGGACATGTCAGCGGGGGCGTTCCGGGTGGCCAGCGGTATGCTGTTTGTGATTCGAGATTAGCCACTTTGACTCCAACATTTATTGCATGCCAATAACTTTTGTCCGGGCACAAAGGTGCGCTGGCATTTGGGGTGTGCGTACGTGTGTGCGTGTGTGTGTGTGTGGGGTTCGACCATTGCCAATACCTGCAATGCTTGGTCAATTTGCATACATGTACCTGTTAGCCAAAATAACAACAGCAACTGGCAGCAGCTACCTTTTCTGACTGGCAGCTTGTAATGAATTTTCGTGTTTCTGGCTTTCTTTTGTGCGAACAATTTCGATTTTCTGGCTTTTTCTTCGTTTCCAAAATGCAAATTGAACGGGTTGTGTTCGAATTTTGAATAATTGACAGCACTTGAAAACCGAAAGCCTGTGGCTACTTTAGTAACAATTGACTGTAGCTTGCCTTGTTTGACCTGATCGTTATCTAACTCAATTAAAAATTACAAAATCAAATTAAACATTTTAATTGGTTTTGTGCAGCAAATTTGCGCCTGGCCCTTAATTAAATAATTGAATTGATAATATAGACAATTTTCTCTAGACTAGAACGAGAACCAAGACAGGACAGGTTTTACATTTAATACAAGAGCTAAATAATCATGTTTGTTGATAAATGTTATTGGATTTTTTATGGAAAATTATAATATGCCAAATTAATAAATGGTTAAAGAACACTTAATATGAAATTTATAATTTAATTGTTTATTATAACTTTATTCGCATTTGAATATATGCACATTTGACACATTTGACACTTGGTAGACATTTTAAAATAAACACGTTTTTACTTACATTTTTAGGCACATTTTTAATTTGTAATTTGTAAACATTTCAAATTGTATTCTTAATAAGTCAGCTCAAATGCTGTTCTTTATTCATGTTAAAAAATGATCCCACATATGAGTCCGAAGGATTATCCCGTGAGTAGCAATTTAGTAGCGTGTGCGCTCGTCGTAGCGTTTGATTAAACTGAAATCGTGAATACAATAAGAAAATCAATACTGATACAAATTAGTTATTTATTAAAGTGACTTTAACAAAAATGCAATTCTTTTCATCTTGAGTGCTGTAAAAATATGAATAAATAGTGAATACATTAGTGAATAGCTTGAATTGCGGGTGTTTAAAAATATATAGAGGCTGTTGTGCATAGTTTAAAATCTTACCTGAGCCTTCAGAAATGTAACACAAACTGCTTGAATTATGTTTATTTAATATTCAATATAATTTACAATAATATTTTGTTTGGCTTTTGAAGAAATCTGTGCTTAAAAACTAACCATTTATTTGATATTCAATTGGAGATTAATTTCCAGCTTGATTTGGAATTTATTTAAGCCTCACTGTGGCTCTATAATTAAGAGCTCTACAACAAATGTGTCTACAAATGTGAATTAATTTATTTATATTTTAATAATACCGTAATTAACACTAGAAAGCAACAACAACTAAACATGAATTAATTAATGTATGTACATATTCCAGAGCTATATTTATTATAATTAAACATCTATTGATATATTTTATTTGCAACTACATGGGTTTACAATTAGCAAAATTCAAATGGAAATGCGTATTTTTGTGCACAAAACATAAATACACATGAGTATAGTTGATTTGCGATTCATTTTGAATGCTGCTTAAGACTAAGCCTTAAATATACCACATCACATAGAGTAACATACGAAATACGCAATACGGAATAGAGTGTATCGATTATTATTAATTGTATTTACAACAAATTGAGCCTAACAGTTGCCATGGAATTTGCATACAACTAATAAGTACATACCGAAATGAAATCGACTGAAGGGCCAAGTGGACTCGATTCCAAGTCAAGTATTCAATTAATTTCTTCTCTTCTGCACACACATATGCAGCTCACACACGACGACGTGAGCTAAGCTTAAAGCTTTGGCTATGCATGCGTCAGAGCTTCTTTCATTGAAGCACACTAATACATGTGCAACGCACTCATACAAACGCATCGTCTGCATTCTAAAGAGCTTTGGGGCCAGGGCATTAACAGAGCCACCGCAAAATGTATGAACTTTGCTAATGCCAGAAAAGCCACATGGTTATGCGCAGGGCCCATATTGCTGGCTTAAAGCCTTTGGCAATTTACATGCCAATTCCAGTTACAGACACCAACCTAACAAGTGCTGAGTGCCCTCTGGGGTGTTAATGATGCTGATGCTGGTGTTTGAAGGGGGGCCAGATAGCACAACAATTACTGCCAATTAGCATAGCCAGTGTGTGTGAGTGTGTGTCAGTGTGTGTGCCGGTGTGTGTGTGTGTGTGTGTGTGAATTCGGGTGCAAGAGTGAGATCAGTGGCCAAATGGTTTAGAGCTGCTCGTCGGCCTGTTGGGACAACGCACCCTCCTCCAGCAGCTCCACAATCAGTGTGCCTCACCTTTTCTCATTGATGATGGAGGCGCGTCCGATGCCAGCACCAGGGCCGCCCACATTGTGGGCATGCCCATTGCCGCTGCCCGCGTGTTGCAATGGCATCGAGTCCTGGCGATGAAAACTGCCGCCACGACCGCCACCGCCTCCGCCGCCACCAACAGCCACGCCATGGTTATTGTTCATGTGCAGCGAGGCACGATGGGCGGCCAGGCTGCCGCCAACGGCTCCGCCCCCACCGCCGCCCACATAGGTAGAACGACGCATCGAGGTGACGCTGGTGTCCATGACGCCCGTTGCGGTCGAGTGTTGCCGGAGGTGCGGCTGCCGCTTGACGCAAATGCAGCACAGATAACGGTTGAAATGCTGCCGAAACACACCGGACACACAATAAAGCGCCACAGGATTAACGCACGAATTGAGGAAGCTGCAAATTGAAAAGACCAAAGCGAAAAGTTAGTCCATGGTCCACATGCTAATTTGTTAAGCGACTGCCGCAGACCGTTAACAATGCGCAATCCAAAGGGTTAAAGGGTATGCGGTATATAGTCTGCTTTGGCAGCTTAATTGTCAGCCCAATCTATAATAATGTAATTAATAGTAGGCTAATGTTGCAGTCGTTATAGTCAGGTCCCTCTGTGCCTCTCTACGGCTGCCTGTTTATTTGCAAACTTGTCGCGCAGCTCTTTTTGCTCGTGAAATTATGAAGGATCAAACGATTCTGTGTCGAATCAAACTTCTTTAACATGACAACATATATTAGTAAAGAGATTCACAGCTTCAAAATGCCTGCACAATTTTAGAAGAAACTCAATATTGCTGCTGAACTTGAACTATCGAGCTGCTGCTTACTGGTCCGATGTTCAGACAGCGCTGTTAGTTTTTAAAGCTAAGACTATTCTTAAACCTTTTGCGCCCTTTTTTATTTTTATTGATCCAATTCCTGGCATTTTTATTCAAATCCTTAGCAGTTGAGCACACACTTTAATTCCTGCCAATCCCTTTTTTGCCCGGGTTTTTAATTCGCTGCGTTTTGGTTTCGATTTGTTTCAATTTTCCACTGAATATTTTATTCGAGTAGAGTTTATTTGTTTTGTTTGCTTTTGTGGGCAACCCTTTTGGCATTTAAATGCAAATTATTCTCAGTGGAGCTGACAGTTTCTGACGTCACAAATTAAGTTGCCCAAAATGCTGACACATTATTTTTTGCACTTTACTGAGCTAAGTGACGCCCCCCTCGCCCCTTCGTTAGCCGAAAAGGGGCGTGGCCGCTGTCAGTGAAATAAAATTTACAACATCTTGACGCCTGAGGGGTGTGTGGGTATGAGGTATAAGGGAAGGGAAGCTTGGGCTTAAGTTTTTACTCGGATTATCTCTTTCAATTAAAAATCATGCCAAAAGAGAGAAGCCCGGGGCAATGCAGTGGAAATGAGTGCAGGAAAAGCAAGTTTAAAGACGGAAAACTTCGCATATGCTTGGCTGCCATTGACTCTCCCCTATTTTCACAACCCGCCGCACCCACCCTTTCGTCTGCTTTGTGTGTCAGCGTGCAATATGATGGCACTGGCAATGGAATTTCAAGGATTGCGCGCGACAGCAAACAGCTTTCATCCCCCAGCCCCAACCCGAAGGAAAAACCAAATGGAAAAATTGCTAAAAATCGCAGTAGCTTGTGGCAGTTGCTGTTGCAGTTGCAGTCGCTTACCTTGTACAAAATCCCACGATGCGCACCACATGCCAGAAATCATCGAAGTCCTCCTCGGCGGTGGGATAGAAATGGTACCACAGCTCGAACACATGATATGGAAAGAAGCAAATAAAGAATACTGCCCGGGCAATTAGTAGACCTACCAATGCCCACGCCCAAGCCTGGCGTCATGGCATACTCACCGACCACAAAGGCCACCACCATGCGTGCCACATGGCGACGGGCGCGTGCCTGGCTGCGGCTCTGGATGCTCAGCTGCTCGCCGGGCATGTCCCGGGCGCTGATGTGCAGCCGCTTGGCCATCATGATGTACAGCACGCCAATGATGGACAGCGGCACCAAATAGTATATCGAGGCCTTGGCAACCACCATATATCTGCAAACGGAAGAGTCAGAAGAGACCATGTTTAAAATGGGTATCTTAATAGGAATATTGCAGTTAAAAGTCTCTGCACTGGACTGAAAGCGAGGAAAGCGGAGATTAATTGTTTAAAATAGCGTGAATCGAGCAACTGACATTGCAGCTTAATTAATCACAGCCCATCGGAGATTTGTCAGCAATCTGTCAATCACATTGGAAAAAAACCCCGTTTTTCAGCTCTACTATAAATAAATTCATTTAATTCGACTTCAATCAATTGATTTAATATGAAAAACCCCCTTCTTTGATTTAATTCGATTTAATTATAAATGTTACTCGTTTAATTTAATTCCCGTTTATGTTTGCTTGTTGTTTAAAAGCCAATCTACAAGAGCCAGTTGCTTGTCAATATTTAAATATTTATATAAAAGCAGCTTTAAAACGTTTGATTTACTCTATTTCATTTTAAAAGATTTTTAAACCCAAAACCTAGAGTCAGCCGAATAAAAAATCTTATAAGTACACAAAATAAGTCTACTCTATTTCATTTGATCGATAATTATCGATTTTGAGACATGCTTATTATCAAGAATTAAGAGCTTGATGCAAGAAATTTGGTATATGGGCTCTCGTTTAGTATGATTGGAATGACAATATTTTACTTTTTGGAGACCTCAGCTAAAGCTGACAAAAACTAGAGCCTACCGCTTAGGATTGTACGCACATTGTAAGTTTTATTTGTATTGTCGTGAATAAAACCAGAAGTACTTTATGAAATTGCTGAAAGAAAAAAGTGAAAGGCAATATGAAATCCACGAATAAATGTAATACTTGTTTCTTCTTTTGGCCAGAACTTGTAGTTAATCTCTGTAACATATCCTAAGCCGATTAACTCACAATTGGTATATTATTTAAAACGAAAAATTTCAAAACGAGAGAGGTTTTTGTGGGTTTGGCAAACACATTTTTATGTTGCATAAAAAATACGAATGAATCAAATAGAACAAATACTCACAGCACTTGCACAAACTCAATATACCCTAATTGCTCGTTGCGAGGGGATAGTAAAACGTGCTTCGATTGCATTCGGTTTTTTTTATATTATTATTGAAGTCATTAAAGTACGTATACAACTATTGTAACCTAATCCATTTGTAAATTGAAAAATATTTTAAAAAGACGCGAATACCCTTTAAAAGAATTATCGATGCTTGGTTGCACTTTTGAATAACTTAAAAGGAATTTTATATTGACATATTTTTAATTGTGTTTTTAAAAGTATAAGCAAATAAAGCTCTAGTACAGCTAAGGAAACATAATAATCCCACATGCCAAACTTGTCGTGTGTAGCTTTGATATATCCTGAGATCGAAGGGCTTATATTGCTTTGTCAGTTATATATAAAATATGTATACATATATGTATTATAAATCTTTTATTGTTAACATTTGCTTAGAACTTATTAAATAGCTTAAATTTAATATAAAAAACATTTAAACCGCAAGCGTTTGACAGAATGTTTTAAGAACTCTAACAAATTATGCCATTTAATTAAATTTAGACTCGCAGCTCAGACAGAAAACGAGATGATTGCCAAATACATTAAATGAACATTAGAAATAAATTCAGTAAGCGGATTTGGGCCAAATAGCTGCATGTCTAAGCCATATTTAACAATTTGTTAGACTATTAAAATGCCAGCAGGGTGAAGACATCCAATAAATTACAAAGCGCAGCCCATTTTGATGACTTACGACAGAATAATTCGTTGGCATGAAAGGCAAAATGAACGAAAATTCACTTTTTGGGGTTTATTTGAATATTTACTAAAGGAAAAAAAGAACAGAAAAGCTGCACGCCGAAGAACGAATGCCCTTGTCTGGCATGATTTTATTGTTCCAATAGGATTCATATGATATATACAGATTCGGTTAGGACTTGCAGATATGTCGCAAGAATAGAGTTAAAATTGTAACTGAGTTTTCTATTTAGAAAAAATTTAAGTTTCAATGCTGTATGATATAGTGGTCCGATTCAGCCCATATAAAGCTGAGAGACTAGTTCGCATAGAAAAACGCAAACGGATATAGCTATATACAAAACAGACGTCTGTTGATGCTGATCAAGAATATATATGTATACTTTCATGGGCCACAATTCCCTTAATGTCTTACACAATTGGTGATAAATGGATTAAACTCTCTCTACAAGAGTATTAAAACATGCTGAGGAGTTATAAAAAGGTTTTTATGAATTTGATAAAAAAAATTAGTAACCAGTTGGCTGAAGCTGTGTAAATTACAGCGGATAGGAAGAAAGAGAGAGTGAGAGTGTGAGAGAGGGAGAGAGGGAAAGATAATGTGGCAACAGCTGCCGTTGTCCAGCATGAAAGGATTTCCAACTTATGGCAACAGACCAGCAGACATAGCCGCAGCGAGAGGTGGGGCCAGGCCGTGGAAACAAGCTGCATTAAAAGAAAGAAGAAGGAATTAAATTTAAGTTGCCTATCGGCGCGAGGAATGCGACGAGCAGCATATGGCCAAAGTAGGGACAGAGTGTACCAGGTGGACGACATGGAGCCACAGCCACAGCAACAGCTTGATGAACTGAACTGGGAAGGGTAAAAAAGCGGTCAGTCAGGGTGGCATTTTAATGATTTTAAGCGCCAAGTGACAGTAGAGTATCTACTGAGCATGCAAATCGGTTTAAATGAACGGACATAAGTAGCTGGCAATAAAGTGCTTGGAGGAGCAAATCTATGGTCGAGTAGCGTATACATTTGTGAGACTTGTCAAGTCTAAGAAACGCTCTAATGCAATTTTATTTGCATTGCTTGCGGCTTATCGTATACAAATTGATATTTCCACAGAACTGAGCATCCAAAAGAAATTGCAGGGAATTGAAAAAGTCTACATTCAACTGTTGAACAAAAAGATAAATTGTTTTCCCCTGAAAAACGCATGTCTGTAATTTGTATGTTGTAAAATTCTACTAACCAGAAATACCAAGTATTTTGAAGGTGTTTTCGGTAAGCATTGCATTTTGATTGCTTCAGCTTCAGTTAAATAAATGCTTTGAATTGTTCTTCACAGAAACGTAAACGTAAAATACCCTTCGACAAGGTAAACGGGGTATGCAGTTTATTTTCATGTTAAGAAAAAATTAATTTGTCATTTGTTGATTTTCACAAATTGAAAATGTCATTGAAACAAAATAAACAAATGTACTTGGAAATTTAAGCAGCCTTGTGAGCATTATCGAATGAAGGTTATTGTTAGGTATTATAATATAAAATATATATAGATCATAATTGATATATAATTTATGTATAATACCCTTTTCTCTGACTAATTGATTAATGATTAATGAGCTTATGTTAGGTTAAAATAGAAAACATGCGTTTTGGGCAATTCCACCCGCAACTGTGGAAAATGTGTGAAAAACGGTTGAAGAACCCCAGGCGATCGCCTTCAAGCTAATTTTCAAGAATCGTACTTAAGACCTTTCTTAACTAACTACTACGCGTTTATCTAATATAATTAAATACCGCATTTTATAAAATGTCTTTAAATTTGTGCTGTTTTCACAATCAATTTTCTTAGCAGGAGCTGTCAATTACTTGAACGGCTTCTGCTTCACTGGACTTCCCCTTGCTTGGTGGACAGTGGGCAGTGGGAAGAGGGCTTTGGGCTTTGGGGTGCGGGGTATGCGTGAACACCCACTTAAAACTAAATAAAACCGAATGGGGCGAACAAATGCGAAAAAACATCCAACTGATTGGCCATTTGGCCAGCGGCTACTCACTTTGCATAAATCTTGGAGCGAAATGGCGAGCACACTTCAATGGTGATGTTGCCATTGGGTGTGGGCAGTGTGTAGCCCTGGATGTCGGAGACAACAAACGATGGCATGCCCAGCATTATGGCAAACACCCAGATAATCACGGCCGTAAAGACAGTCAGCGGCTTTGTCTGTGTGCAAGCAAGTCCGAAAAGAAAGAAAAGCAATACATAAATGGAAATTAGTTAAGTGACCCAAATGGATCCAAATGGAATAAATGCGCGTTTTGCTCACCTGCAGTTTGCGCAGCGGATTGACAATGGCGCAATAGCGTTCCCCGGAGAGCGCTGTCAACGTGAAGACGGAGACGCCAATCGAAATGTCCTTGAAGAATTCGGTTATGCGGCACATGTTACGCTCGAAGGGCCAACTCTCCTGGGTATAGACAATTGTGGCCACTGGGACACAGACCAAAATGACCAGCAGATCGGCCAGCGCCAGCGAGAGTATATAACTGCAATGCATCAGAAGATAATTAATTAAATGATTAAACTAAATTATATATTATATATAACATTAATAAAATTGATCATATTTTCGGTTATCAATATATTATCGGTTATCGATAGATTATTGTTCAAGAAACTGCGGTTGCGAATTAAAACTGTCAAGAGAGACCTCTAACAAATGTTCATATATAAAAAGGCTAGCATTCAATATTTCTGATTTCTATTGTCTGTTAACACAGTAAAGTACAATCATTCTCAAAATGGTAACGCAACGCTGGTGAGTTACCATCGTATCGATTCAGCAGACCTTAAAGTTTTGTGAACGTGAAAAGAAATGGAATGTGTGAGTTTAGACAAAGTTAAACGTGCCAAATTTGCTGCATGGTTGCACTGGGATTGAATTTGGAACAGAATTGGTATTGTTATCGATATCGGAATGTGAATGGGAACGTGAATGGAAACGGGAATGAAAATGGTGCCTGTTCGGTTCCTGTCATCCGTTGTGCATTCACATGGAAAGCACTCGATTTGAAGCGCACTTTGCTGTACAACATTTTCTTTTGTGCTTTTCTTTTTGGACACTTACAAGTGGACTTCTTGATTTGGGTCTGCACGAAATGCCAGCCGCACACACTTCGCATAGCCCCATAGCCCAGTCTGGCACATCTATATACATGTAAGTGTTGTCTAGCGACTGGCAAATGGAATAGAGTTTAATTTCACACAGCTCAAGTTGGGAAAACAGACAAGAAAAAAACAAATGTTGCCCTTCGCAGTTAAAAAGCAAATGTGGCCTTCATTTAACAAATTGCTTTGGCATTGACACGCTTGAACCCCATCGAGGTGCCAGACAACGGTTAAGACATTTTTCCCAAACGCGCACCGTTATGACCCACAAATTGGTAGTTCTGATTCGTGTCAATTGGCGCTTGTCTAGACACACGGACAAAGACCGGCAAATCAAGCAAAAACTTTTGCGCAAAAAATTAGAAAGCTTGGTCCATTGATTGGCTCAAATTGCAGCATGTCATGACTTCCCAAAAGCTACAATCAGTTCACAATAGTTCAATTGTCACCTGACAGTAAATGCAAGTTTTAGCATTTTTATTTGTATATTTCTTGGTCACACAGTCAAAAGACTCAATTGGAGTTGATTGGGACTTGAAGTTTTGAGTACATTTATCGTGTATACCATAAATATCTTACACAGATCTATAAAGACTACTGACGAGGTTTACCCCAAAAAAATCTCGTCGAACTAACAAACGGATTGTCGCCGGCTCAAATCTAGCAGCAATTTTCTATTTTTTATATGTTTATTTAAAACTTAGTTATGATTAATTAAAATGGTTTGAGAATTCTTGAAATCAATGTCTTTTTGTCAGCCGGAACGCCGCATAGTTTATTCTAGTATTTTAATAATTTTATCGGGCTTTTTGTTTTAAGCTATTTTTGCACTCTGGGCGAGTATTAGACAGTCAGACCCTCACGATTGCAGCATTTGCCTTGGTAAATTTCTATTTTATTTGTGCACAAAAATAACGTGTATTCAGTTTGACGTATTTTTTGACAATCGAAGCGTGAGGACAATTTGTAATATGCTTGTTACGCAACTGTTACTCAGTTCCAAGCCCCTTCTCTGCGATCCCTTGCATTCCATGCCAGTACTGTCGCCGGCTGTGTTCACAGGAAAACTTTTGATTGTATTTCCATTTCAATTTATTTAGATTTTCCACCAGACGCCCCAAAAACAAGCCACAAGACGTTACACAGTTGTACAAGCTGTAAGTTTCCTACAAGTTTCCAAATTAATAAACATTTGCATATGCCCCAATCAAAGAAGTAGGTATTCTAGTCGGGCGTGATCGACTAGGAGCTATCCTGTAAACAGCGCCAAACTTCCGTAATCAACATTTGAAATTTCTCCCGAACAATGATACAAACATGCCTACTCTAAAGTCCGACCTTTATGAAAGACTCTTTATATGTAAATAAGATTAGATTGGATCGAATATGCCTCCTTCATTTACACCATACCCTTATATCTAAGCACAACATAATAGAGTATAAGAAGCGTCCGCAGCTGTTCGCTTTGTATTGTTTTGCCAACCCGATTTTGCATTTTTTTGTACAAATACAGCTTAGCAACAGTTAAGCCAGCTAAAAAACAAAGCTGTCAATATACGAGTGTCATCCTCTGGCTATTCAGTGGAATCAAATAAACGCAATCGGATCTGTCTGACAAGCATTAAGCATACGCCGTGTGGACCAGCACTCAGTTGATAAGGTTTTTGTTTTTGTTTGTGCCTCGCAAGAGTTTAAGCGTAGCTAAGCTTAACATTTGACTAAAGTAACTGCAGCGCTGGATTAAATTTGTTGAAATTAAGATTAGCGTAAAACATTAACTGTCATTTAAGCTTATCACAGAATTAAACTTCTTAAATAGCACAAATCTAATAAGCAATTACTGCTTCCCTGTTTAATGAAAGCTTAAACAAACTTTTGAAGATGAAGGTATCTTTAATCCTTCAAGAATATGAGGTACCTTTTAATATATACACAACTTTTAACGTTTAATCTTTTCCAAAAAATGTACTTCCCTTGGCTATAAAATATAAATCATAATATTCTTAAGTACAAAAGAGTATTTCTTCTATATTAAAATGATTTCACAGTTACTTTATCTAGAAATGTTAAATAATTGGAAGTATTTCCAATTCTTACTAAAAAGATTTTTGAATTTCTCAATAATAATATGACAATGACAATCACAATGAAATTGGCAATGACAACGAAAATGATACTGATGATAATATGAATAAAAATATGATGTATTTTATTAGAACTAACCGATTATACAAAATGTGTAATCGATGCTGCTTGAGACATAAAATTATTATCTCTGACTTCCTTGAATCAATGTGACTTAAGCGACTTCCCCTCATTGTATATTTAATTTAAAATTTTTTTTAGTATTCTTGACCGAAGACACCGCCTGCTGTCCGCTGCAACAAAGTTATGAAACATTTCTTGAGAACTTTTAATTTGGTCAAAAAAGTCGACAGCTGTTTTGACCCCATGAACAAGCAGAAGTTAGTGGGCCGAAGCCGACCACAAGATCTGGACTGGCATATAAAATAAGGGGCAATAAAATCAGAGATGCGCGTCTCATAATTCAGCGCCATGAATGTTGAGTGGCAATTCTTTTAGGCTATTTCTGGGCGACACGCAGCACGCTCATTTTGGGCCAAAAATATTTATATGAAGTGTACGCCATGATTATACACGCATATGGATGCTGCATATATATTTTAGGGTGGAATGAGTGGATGATGTGAACGCCACGGGTTGCCCATAATCGCAGCACTTACGTGTTGGGTATGTTGCGCATGGAGCGATGCCGAAAGAATATGATGACCAAAGTGCCATTGCCCAGCACGCCCACAATAAAGATGAGCGTATAGAGCACGGTGACAATATAGGTCTCCGGGCGATCCAAAACCTTCACATACTGCGGATACTCCTCGCCGCTGGCATTATGCGTGCTCGTCGATGTTGTTACCGCTGTTGTTGTTGTTGTTGCCGCCGCTGTTGCCAACGATCCATCCAGCTGACTCGAATTGCCTAGCTGGCTGACATTCAGGACGACAGCAGCAGCAGCCGCCGCAGCGGCAGTGGCTGCCGCGTTCGACTCCAGCGGCGCATAGGCCAGGCTCGCCGCCAGCGTCTGGCTCATGTCCATTAGAGCCGCTAACATGTTTTTTGGCATTGCTCAGTCGCCCCACCGACTGACTGACTGACTGACTGACTGACTGACTGACTGACTGAGTGATTGACTGACGCTCTTTTCTTGTCTTGTCTTGTCTTTTTTTGTTGGCTGCTGTCGCCGTGTGCGTGTCGTTTTATGTGCTCTTTCGGACCACTTCCGATTCCTTTATGGCCTTTTTTGGTTCAAGCTTTGCACTTCTTGCTAAGGGTATTCAGTTTATGGCATTTAGGTTTTTAGTAGAGTGGTTGTTGCTGCTGCTGCGTGTTGTTGTTAGTTTTGTTGCTGCCACAGTTGCGTGTTTTATTTTGCACATTTTGTTTTAGCTGTGACCACATTCGCTGTCTTTGTTGTTGTTGTAGTTGTTGTTGTTGTGGTTGTTGTTGCTGTTGTTGCTGTGTGCGGCTTTGCCCTTTGACTGGCGCCAGTTGCTGCCATGCTGCAGAGAGAAAGAGAAAGCGAAAAACCGAAAGTAAATAGTTGTTTAAGTCGTTGTCATAAAATGATTTAAGCTGCTATCTGTGCAAGAGAAAACAACATGGCGTATGTGTAACATTTAACAATTTGTATATAGCTTAATTATGCTGCGGTTTATATAATTCACTTTATGCCTGGCACATTTTGTTGTTCATTTAATACGTGTGCTTTAAAACGAGATGCGGCAACAGACTTTTAATTAAAATTGCTCAAAGTCTGTCGTAAAATTAAGTAAAATATCGAATCGAAGCTCTAATAAAGAAATAGAAAAGAAAACAAATTGGTAAAAGCAATGCATACATTAAATTTTTGTTAAATTTGTGTGAATTTGTATTCGTTAACATTTTTTTAAATTTCTGGACTGTCTGATTTTCCATTTCAAGTCACACTTTTAGCCTTTGCGTGAACAACAGGTTCACGCTTGAACCGCTTGCGAATTATAAGCGGAAACTATGCGAAGTTTTATTAATCCTAGCAAAATTAATATGCGTATTATGAATTGAATTTTCTGTACAAGCTGTAGCAGGGCAAAATTATTGCTAAACGCTTGCTTATAAGAATTCATACGCTTCTTTAAGTGATCTCTTCTGCATAAATTTGCATAGCAACATGCCAAATGCAATTTAAGATTACGACACGAACATTTTTGCGTTCTTTGTGCAACTCAAGCGTCATATGGTTCACTTTGAGCCCTGGCTTTTGCTCAGTTGGTGCAAGGGATTCATTTATTCAGTATTCCGTGTATTGACATTCTTTTGTTATTATTTTTTAAGTTCTTGCAGTAAGACGGAGATACAGACACAGTGAAGCAGCTGGCAATGCAGGAGGCAAGGGGGGAGAGCTATGAAACGCTTTGGGAACTAATACGAATTCATTCGGGCAAATTCAAAGACTTTCAAATCGCAATCAGTCGTCTTTATCCCAACAGCAATCGCAGCCGCAACGCATCTGTTGTGATCTGGAATCGGATATGTGTCTGGATGGGTGGGGCTGTGTCTGGCTGTGTGTGTGGGCGTTCGCTTGCCTGTGTCGTTTCAATTTCAATTCAATATTAGATTGTTTTGAAGGCGTCACTTGTTGTGCCGCTATTGATTTCGAGCTAACTGCGGCTATCCTTTGCGGTCCACGCTGCGTATGCGTGTTATTTATTCATTGGCTAAGAGGGTCGAGCAAATTGTTGGCAAATCGAACAAATCTTTTTGAGGCCATTAAGCTATTTATAGCTACTCTCTGGCTATCTATAAGCAGCTTTACCTTCAAGTACGCGTAATTTCACTGCCCACTTATATGGCACTCTCGAGGCCTTGTGGAATACCCGGGTCAGGTGCTCAACTATGCGGTCAGGTGTGTCTAGAGCATTTGATGGGCCTTGCATTTGTTAGCCATAAAATCAAGTATTTATTGGACGGCTTCTTGAAATTATTGAGCTGTGCATGGCAAGTGGACGTCGGATCGCCACCATTCGTTCCACAAATAATTGAAAGATTTAACAAAGCAGAGGCCCGCAACAGAGAGAGACAAACCAGCTGAAGGGCTGCTGCTTGAACGTTTTTTAAATAGAAAAAACATCCAGATATATGCTGGATTATAGAATTCAGTAAATTAAGAAATTAAAGTAATTGGTAACCTAATATCATATGTACAAAATTAAGCTATTCAATTTCTAGCATGGTTTTGAATTTTCTGGCATCAACATTTGACAAAAAAAAAACCTTTTAAATTCTAGTAAAAAAATCACAATTTCTGAGCAAAGCATATAAAAAGAAGTTTAACAGCATGTGTGCTGCTTCTAGCTTAAAGTCATAAAATGGTTTTGGTATTTTATGTGCGGCACGTTGGGCGCCATATCCACCAAGATTTCTCACCGTTTTCATATGCCATAAATTACATATTTAAAATCTATATATTTCATTGCATTAAAGTCTGCGCATACTATTGTCCTGCTGAACGCCCTGGCAGCCATTGCTGATATCCACTTATCATGTAGTTTCAACTTAGTTTATATAAAAAACAAATAAATATATAGTCTGTGCATTGTCTCACATATTTTATGCATCCCTTTTTGGGCATACATCGGTTTGGGCTCTGATAAAAATTACTAAATCTGAAAAGATTTATAAAATTTAATAGTATATTGTGTTTCTTTCAGCCGGCAGTCGTAAAAACTTATTGTCATTTTATGTTCCCCTACGTTGAGCGCCATGTGGCAAACAATGCCTGACGATTGACTTTTCAGTCAATTGACACGGCACTTAAACGACCCACATTCATAACATTTGTGGCAACTACATAAAGGAGTCAAGCACACAGAAATTTAAGTGCAATTAGCTGTGGCACTGTCCCGGCTCGGGTCAGTAAATACGAGACTACAAGCTCGTAACCCTCGCATTGCCAATGGGCGCTTCATGTTTAATGACAGACCTATGGGCAATATGCTGGCCCAAGTGTCGACAGCCCAACACCAGTATGTATTTTATGTGTGTTGTGTGCTCTGCTGGGAGAGATGTGAAATGTGAAATGTGACTTCCGGCGAAAACGAGCTGAGTGTAAAGCTTCCGCAATATTAATTATACTTTGCATTTAGACAGCGAGCGAACTTTAAGCTGTTACCCACTTCTGTATTGCTTCAAGTTTTATTGGCCGCTTCGGGCGTTAGGCAATTAGACAAGATCCTCAAAACTTGTGAAATATGCCTGTCGATTTTTTTTGCGCCCTGCCTTAAATTTGTCTCTCGTCGGCACAAAGTTTGAATTAGGCGCCAACTTCCTGCGGCCATCCGCTGATAGACAAACGGAAACGACATCCGTAACGGAAGTAGCTGCGGCAGGACAAAAGCTAAATGTCTGAAGTTAAACAGCTGAAAGTGCCACACAACAGGCGTCAGCAGAGACGGCGAGATAAGTTTGAGAAAAATACCAGAAACACATCAATTTTTTAGCAAGCGGGAAGCAACAAATACCAAACAAAAGCTCTTTAATATAACTGTCAAAATAAAATGAAAAAAAAAAAGAAAAATAATATTATTAAAGAAAAATAATTTAACTTGTGGGACTAGCCCCGCGGCTTAGGCCTGTTGCCAGCGCCTGTTGACCTCAATCAATTTAATTGCATTTTTTAAACAATTTCAGCAAGTTGCCACGGGGAAAGACCTGCTAGGCGACCGGAGTATTCCTTTTTATAAGTTTTAAATATACTGCTGAAACAACTTTAATCAGTGGACAATATTAAAGCGATTCTGACCTACGAGCTACAAGAACTTTAAGTTTAAGCCACAAGAAGTTTAAGCTAAAGCCAAAAATTATTTAAGGTATCTTAAGAATACATTCATAAATAATTGTATAGCTCGTTCAAAGCAAAATCGAATACTTAAGTAAAAAAATGTAAAAAAATAGTTCATAAAATGAATTCCACAAAAAAATGACAACATATGCTTAATACTAAATAAGTATTTAAATCTGCTCAAGCAATGTATAAAGAAATTTCGACACTCTTCAAAAACATTTATAAAACAACGAATAATATTGGAATCTCTTTCAGCATTTAAGCCTCATAGAAACGCATTCCAGAAGCTCTTCATATATAATTTTCTCATCGTAGCTGACGTTCGCGTCATTCGCGTGACAATTTTTTATTCTATTTGGGTTTGTTTTGCGGCTGCCATCGTTATATCCACGCGTATTTATTTATGATTAAAGCCTGTTATGTCCTGAGGTATGGGTCGACTTTTGCTGCCTGCGCTGAGCTCAGATAGCAACCGGCGGCTGCTTTTTGAACGCAATTACATTTGTCAGAGGGAAAGTCTATTAAAATGCCTGGCTGCCTGCCTGCCTGACTGGCTGACTGGCTGCCAGGCACCCCGTTGTCAGAGCGTCCCGTGGCGCCTACGGCAGTGCGGACCCCGCTTAAGACTGGGTACTAAGCGCAGACAAAGGCGGATAAAACATATTGTTGGAATGGCGTTCAGTACATGCTCAACATTCTTATGAGTATGTGTTAGATAAATCATAAAGCAAACATAATTTAATGCACACACACACACACTCACACTTGTTCTCTGTCAGGTTTTTGCTTGTAAGCTGCACAGCAACACAAGGCTGAGGCAACCGGGCGTATGTGTAATGTGGCAAGCGTGTTAATCATACGCCACGTTTGCGCAGCCAAGCTGAATATTTGGCCCCGCTGAAAAGGGCAAATGGAAACATTGAGAATAATATTTTTTGTTTTTGTTTTTAACTCATAAGTAACCAACTCCAAGCCCATGTCAAACTCAGACAAATGGCCCGCTCATTATGCAACGCGTTCTAAGCTATTTTAATTAGAGTCGAAAAAATGTTTGCCATTTATAAAGAGAAGAAGAAAAAAAGGTGGTTGCTGCTCATTTCGTATGCGCCGCTGCCCTGCCCCAGTGGCCGCCTACCTCAAATATTATGCAAATTTTCATGACGTTCCATTTGCCTCTCTTGCTCCGAGCCGTGAACATAAATATTGACAAAGTTACACGTCTCGACTGCCCCGGGGCCCCAAAGCTGAATCAATGGCAGACAAGTCAAGGCGCAGGCTGGCACAACAGACACGGACTCAAAGCAGGCGGAAGCTCCGGCTGGGTCATCCATTGCAGGTCATAAAGCGTTGCCATTCGTTATGATTGAAGATGATTGAAGATGATTGCAAATGACTCTGCGTACGCACATCGATTTAGCAAGAAATGCCGCCGTTTGTTTGTATTTCACTACGGCCAAAAAAAAATTCTATATACCGAGAGCACACACAAAGATCAAGTCGTAAAGCTCGATAAGAGCGAAAGTGAAATGAGCTAAAAAACAAATCTTAAGTCGAAAAT